ATGAAGGCTAATCATGTTTTGGGTGTACTATTCCTTTAAGGCCTCACCGTCTGTTATCAAAAATCCCACTACAGCGATGTTAATAAAAAACATTATTGGAATTTACACTTTTGAATTCTCATTGGAAATGAACATCAATTAACCATACATCAATTCATAGAGAATTACCCTTAAACTTGTTTTAAATTCTGACACTAAAGATGATGTAAAATAAATGAATAATTTCTTTCAGCAGTTCTTCACATCACAGCTACAGATTTTGATGCAGATTTTATGTGACTAACCAAAACAAAAATGCAAAACAGAGGAAGAAGGATCTGCAGTGTAAGGTTTAATTACCCCAAATGAATTTTGCTGCTTTCTTGGCTTTTTTTTCATTGTATATACTAGTAAATAATCCTGCCAATTCCTCTTTGCCATTCATCTAATTTAGACTGGGTGGTGAAACTATGTAGATTATTGTCAAATGAAGTGAGATCAGCTTTGTTGAAGTTGGTTTATGGTTCATAAAATTATTAGAAGGTCTTTAAAGGTTCCCTGTAGTCAAACTTAAAACAACCTTAGGGGCTTTTCAGCCACTAAGATCTTAATGTCCCCAAAAAACAAGTGCTGTTGTATGAGAGTGGGAGCCACTAACTAGACGGTGAGTAACAGATGTCCTCGGTCTACTAGGTTGTTTGCTGAAAAAGGGCGTGGCCCAAGGCTGTGGGTGTGCAGGGGTCAGAGAGTACTGCCCGTCCAGCCAAATAAATCTCATGCAGGCCCTACGTGGGGTAATACTTGTTAGGATGTAAAAGCTCATAATGGTTTGAGCACTAGTCCAGAGTGAGTCGGAGAGAAGGAGGGGTTTGGCTCAATTGTAAGACTTTTCTCCGCAAGATTGAAAAAATGGCTCAAAGACAATCAAGAGTGTGAGCACTAAACTGGCTTGTACTGTTTTTTTTTTTGTTTTGTTTTTACTTCTCTCGTTTTTTGTTTTTTTATGCATCTGTGTGTCGTTACTAACCTCCCTCCCCCTTAATGCTAACACCTTTTAAAAGCCTAACCTGGGACGAAGGCTGCAAATTAGCCCATGGCTACAAGCCTTATGTACTTGGACATCGGCCACCTGTTTGGTTGCAATGTTTAATTGTACTGTCCCTGTCAAATAAACAAAAAGAAAAAAAAAAGAAGAGAAGAACAACACTGTACATAAATAAATAAATCTGGATGATACCCGAGCCTTTATAACACTACCTTACCCTTTAAATAAAACAGCTGTATGTTTTAGCATGTGTTCCTTTTGGACAGTGATCCCCTGTCCCAGACTTAATTATTTTGCAGCCTTATATAATATTTCTTTGAAGTTCTATATATCTTTATTACCGTATTATCTCCGGAGCTTTCCTGTCATTGCTAAAGGAAAGCATCCCCACTGCATGATACTACACTTATGATTTACTAGCCAACAAATCAAAAGTTTGGTCTCATTTGACCAGACCTCCTTTTCATCCTGCTTGTTGTGTCCTGAGATCATCCCAGAGGCATCTTTATCTGACATATTGTGATATTCTTTTTTACAAAAAGAAGGCATTTGACAATAGATCTATATGCTCACAGCATGCAGCATGAGTACATAAACCTTAGAACAAGTGAAACACTATAATATTTTCCATTTTTCTATCTTTGTTGAAGGTTAAAATTGTGACGATATCCAAATTTTGCTTCACAGTAGAGTGACTGAATACTCCCACTGCAAGATTATTACTGCGTTTATCGGAGAGATACTCTCTTCATAGTGGCCTATTTTTGCAAAAAGCTCTATATTGTACCAACCTGAAGGTAAAAGTCTAAACAGTTTGTGTCCAGAATGTGTGGCGTCTGCAAAGACAATCGCTGCCATTCTCTCGACTGCAGAACTATACACATCTTTACAAAAATTATTTGACTTCTCATGGCTTTTGAGAACAGCTTTCTTCCTGCTAATATTCAATAAAGACCAGTTTTGTGGAGTGTATGACTTTCAACTCTCCCTTTTGACCCACATAGACACAATTGTTGGCATCCATGAGATTTTTCATGTTTGTATTAAGGGCCTGATCTTCCAATATTCCAGATAAGGGGCTCTAAATTGCAGGTGCATTTTCTTTATATGTGCAAAAAGTGGGCGTGTTACAGGTGACCTTGAAAGGTTGTTGTGCAAATGTTAATGTGAAAACTAATATGGTTCTGTCCATTAAAATTAGCAGATTGTGTGTTCTACAGACAGTTTGAGATTGGCCATCAAAGAAAGAGTTTCAAAGCTACAAAGTTAGATTAAAAAGATAAAAAACTATTCAAACAATTATATGTAATGATAAACAATAGGTAGCATAACTCAGAGTACTAAAGACAATGGTAAAAAAATTTAATAAATGATGAAAATAACTAAAATTAGGTAACAAATCTTTCCTTTTTATCTGATGACAAATTGGATTTTGACATCACCTACCCCTGAGTAGTAAACAACAGTTTTTAACCATAGTTTTTTCAATTACTTTTCTAGTAAATTTTTTTTAGTTTATCAGGAAATTAAGTCAAATTTGCCCCTTTCCTCTGCTTGTTCAGGTGATCCACAAAAATTAAAATAAAAAAGGTCTTTCCATGCATGAAAATACATGTTAACTTTCTGAGTATGTTGTTTCAATAAAATTAAGTTCTATTTTTAAATTTATTGTAGAGTGACTTATCCTCATTTTGGTTTTCTTACCTTTTACCCTTTGTTTTTACAGCATATTGCCACTTTTTGTGGGAAAATAAAGGATCTTTCTACTTTTTTCTGACCATTAAAAATGATTATTTGGAGTAAAATAAAAAAATAAAAATATGGTTAAAACATGTTATATAGCCCTATGGATATGTCACCCTTATGCAGGGTTCTTTGAAAGCAATTGAACATCCATCTTTTACAGGAACCCAGACTGATTCAGGAGGTGCATGTCATTGACACCACTCACCTGCATCCCAATAATGGCGTAGATGAAAAACAACATGGCGATAAGCAGGCAGACATACGGCAGAGCCTGAAAACAAAGAAACATTTGAAATATACATATCATCATATGCAGACTTAGATCTCCTCTTCCTTCTTTTTTCATGTCTCCATCCCTCTGTACTCTCAGGATCACTAAAACGATTTTCTACTTTCTTCAAAGTTTCTGCTCTTATAGAGGAACTAGAGCTGTGAACTCAGCCGGCAGAGCTGAGTCCTTTGACCAGCTATTTATAACGGCGTGAGGAGGAGGCGAACAGTTGTAATTAAATAGCCACCTTTTAAGACTCCGCAGCTACTGTCTGCCTGTTGTCACCAGGCTTAGAGGCTCTCACCGCCGACATTAAACCTGCTATAAATTCCCTGAGCCAGGCGCTCCACATAACTCAACTTCTCCCAGAGGGATTTAGAGAGTAAATCTGTAGAAATCCCAACTGCTGTCCGCAGAGGGAATTTTTTAGCTAGAACTTAGAAGAAATGGCATCTTTCTCCTAAAGGTGCATCTGTGTTGGTTCAACATTAAAACAACTGGAAAGGCAAATTAGCTGCTTTTCCAGAGAAAAAAAATGCTTTTATCTTTTCGTTTTAAAGAAATAAGATTATTTCCTGTTCGTTCGTTAGCACATTTCAATCACCCATGAACAGTGAGTATTTTTTTTTGACCCACCTTGAAGGACTGAACAAAGGTCCACAGTAGGATACGGATGGTGTAGCCCTGTCGCAGCAGCTTGATGAGACGAGCTGCTCTGAACAGCCTCAAAAAACTCAAGTTTATCATCTTGTTCTAAAAAAAAAAAAGAGAAATCAGTTTGAGGAATCAAGGTAAAAATGTTTTAATTTCTAACTTTTTAAAAGAACTTGGGACAAAAAAATAACGAGTGTTGTATTAATTTGGGCTTTTAGGGATTTCTCTAAGCTTTTCTTGTAAAGGTGTCAGGTTTCTGTTATAGTATTCAGTCTTGCTTTACTCCTTGCTGTGTTCTTTGGTTTTTTCCAGTTACTGTCCTAGTCTGGGTTTTGTTATGTTTTCTTTTGAGTGTTTAGTTTTCTTTTCTCCATCTGCTATAGTCCTAGTAATTTAACATTGTGTTATTTCCAGTCTTCCTGGTTTCTATTTGTTGCTCTCTGCTGCCCTCTTGTGTTCTCCTTCTTCCCTAGCTCTTTCCCTCTTGTTCTGTGCACATCTGCTCCCAGTTTCCTCATTAGCCCCCTCTTTGTCTCTGTCTCCTTTAAAAGCCCTCTCTCTTCAGTTCCCCTTTGCTGGGTCCTCGTCAAACACTGCCAAACTTTGTCAAACTTCCTCGTTGTGACAGTGGTTCCCCTGATGTCTCCACGGTTTCTGGTTTGTTTTGACTAGTTTTTATGTTTGATTCTTTTGGATTTTTGGACTCCTGATTTCATGCTTGTTTGGAATTCGTTTTCATTATTAGATTTTTGGATAACCTGTTTCCAGTTTCCTTTTTTAATTAAATCTAAAGAAATTCACCTCTGCCTTCCTGCCTCTGCTTTTGGGTTAACACTCCATAACCAAATCCTGACAAAAAGGATAAAACGTCTCTCACATTACTGCAGTGACTATTAACTAAAATAATGATTTTCATTTATTCAGGTTTGTGGTGGATTTTCTTTACTTCAGACTCTCTACAGGGTCTTTTTTTTTTATATATTTTTTATATTTGATAAACTGAAGAGGTCTTTGCCTGGAAATTGGATGTTTTCATGTTAAAATGTGATGTTTGGCTTTAGTTAAAAAAACTGATGGACAATCCATATTCTTGTGCATAGTAAGACAAGGATAAAGGATTATGAAAAGTTATCTGAATAATTTGTTTTGTTTTTTTTAAAGGATTAGAGAACATTTTTTGACAATTTAAATAGGATTGCATTTGAGAAAATAACAGGTTATTTACTTTTCATAAAATATGGGTTTTGATTAGGTTTTAGGAAAGTATCTCACTTTTTATTAAATCTACATTTCTGTATGGAAAATGTTTGTTATTGGTTGGGTATAATATTCTAATCCTAAATGTCTGTTTTTCATTAGCTGTAAGCAGAAAAATTATCATAATTACAGGAAATGAGGTTTTAAATGCACCTATGTGCACATTACATACCGGTACAAATCCTAAGTGTTTTAGTAAGAAGCAGCTGTTTCCCCCCTTCTTTAGTAGTGAAGATGTCTTGCAGATGAGGTGTGAGACATCCTTAATAAGTTGCTCTGAGCCTAGGATTTAGGTTGCTGATTTAAAGGGGATATTTACTTAATGTTTCCCGGGCTACTTATTTTATTATCAGTTTAGTTTTGTGTTTTGGATCAGTTTCCCTTTTTTGACTCTCAGTTACATCTTCAGTTTCAGCAATACATCTGTGGGGTTAGAGAGTTTGGGGAAATCCTTTTTTCATCAGCTCACCATTCCACAATACAACAATATCAGGGGTAGAAAAGCAATCAGGTTGGGGGCTTTGGGGAGACCATTTCAGCCAAATTCACATTTTCAAAATCGGTTACTATCATTTGGTTTTGGTTCTGTTTATTTATTTTTTTTTTAGTTTTCATTGGTTTTATTTCCATTTTGTGTTATTCAGGTTATTTTTGGTTGTATTTGAGTTCTTATGTATTTCTTGTTTACTCTCTGTTGCCCTCTTGTGTTAGTCTCCTTCTCCTAGCTCCCTTCTAGATCTTTCTGTCCACACCTGCTCCCAATCTGCTGAGCTCCAATCTTTGTTCAGTTTGTCTGTTCCTCCTCTCTACTCTCCCCTTGTGTTTATCCCCTGATGTCTTCTGGTTCTCTGTATTTTGTTATTTTGGATTTTTGCCTCAGTTGCCATCTTTTGGATATTAAATTTGCAAGAAACCACTTCAGCTTCCGTCTCTGCATTTGGGTCCTCTAAAAACCTCACTGCATCCTGACAGTTTCTAAATTGGTTTTGGGATCCCCTTGGTTAAAACCCCCCAAAAATGCAATATGTCTCTGAAAGGAAGTAGGTGAAGTTATTTATGATTCACAGGGTAACGATAAATAATCATTAAAAGAATGCGGCTATTTTGACAAATATTTGCGAACAGCTCAAAGAAGAATTAACAGAAATCCCAACAACAATAAGTCATTCATGCTTGTATTGGGATTATTTACAAACCGTACTAATGCTGTAGCCAGAATCATTTCATTGTTATCAAAAATGGAGTTAAGGTACATTTTTATTTCCTTGATTGACATTAGGTCTGTGCAGCAAATGGACAAGTTGCAGCTGCAGCCCTCAGTTTATCTCCACTTTAATATCATGTCACGGCGAGGAATTAGACAACACTTTAAATTAAGGCTGCCATAGAGAACAACGCACACACTGACGCAGGAACTGGAAGGAAAAAAAAAAGAAGAACCAGCAGGCAACAAGAAAAGCCACTTACCGTCTAGAGGTGTCAGATGTGACAGAAGAGGCAGAGTGAGGGCACAGGCGCCAGGATAGACACAGCAGATGATGGAAACAGCCAAACAGAAATAAGAGAGGAGCGAGAAAGGAGACAGAAAAGAAGACTGATGTCCTCATGAAGAAAAAAAAACACAGCAGGCGTTGGCACACCAGTAACCACACCGGCCAGCCTCAGTCCTCAAATACGCAAAATCATATTCCTTTAAGTCGTTTTGTTTCCATGACTTAAAGTCATATGTTTAAAGGAAAAATCTGGTCATATTCAGAATTCAAACTTCTTAAAGTACTTTAAATATACAATTATTACATACTGTTTAATAAATATGTGTTTTTAATTATGAGTAATTTTCTTTTGAATGTGCTTTACGGGAGGCATCCATGTTTGCCAAGAACACTACCGCCACCTATTGGTTTGTGACGTCACAGAGCGGCATTGGATGTTGATCAAGTCCCAGTGCTGTTATCCAAGTCATCCTGAAAACATTATTCTTCGAAATATTGGCTACATATTACATGTTTTTTTTTCTTTCTCTGGCCTAGAAAATCGATGGCAAATCCTCGTTCTTCAAATTGGCATTCCACTGTCAAAACCGTCCGTGGAGGATCAGGAATCGGAAAGGTGAAATAACTAAATTTTTTTCACTTTTACCCGATGCATTTCAACATCCAGCCGCCATGCACGTGGGCATTGTCAGTTTCACTATAGCTCTGGTGAATTTCAATGGTGATGTCATCTGGAAATCTTGAATAGTTGTTGATTGCAGATGTGTCTAGTAGTTCCGATTGATTTTGCTAGTAAAGAAGGGAAAATGGCGCTAGGCTTATCGCACTATGACGTCACTACCGGAAGATGTCAGGAGTGAGGTGTTACTATATTTGGGCAAAAATGGCGGCTCCCAAATCACCCTCAACGTATTTGTTTTAGGTATAGATAATGATCCAATGACCATTCGTTGCTGACCGGATTTTTCCTTTAAATAAAATTTAAAAATAATTTTTTTCTTCTATGCTCTAATTTTTATTTTTATTTTATTTTTTTCGCATATTGCTTTTGTATGATTTGATTTAAGGACTGAGACTACAAGAACACAACAAAGTATGGCTTCTTTTTCTGCTCTAAGGATGAAAAGGTAATTGAAAAAATCCCTAATCAATGCATCCATGAAAAGCTGTAAGTTATCCTATTATTGTGGGAATTTATACTTTATTAAATACAAACATACATACAAGCCAATTAGATGTGTTTTTTTAATTTCACCAGAGAATCACATTGATTTTAATTAGCTGTGATTGTAAAGCTATTTTTTTTTGTTTCTCATGTGTTGGATGCAGGAAAACTGATCACTGCACAGCGGTGGCTGCAGGTCTTACATTGATCTCTGTGAACAAAATGTCTGTGATGCTTCCGATCACAGTCACAAAGTCAAACACATTCCACGGTTCCTTCAGGTAGTTCTGAAAAATAGACAAAAATACATCTGTTAGCTCAGCTGTTTTTGTTTTGTTTTTTTTTTGTTAACTGTATTCTGGTCTTTGGAAGAAGACAGAAAACATTTCAAAAAAATTTTATTTTACAAATTCAATGCAAACTGATAGATAAATGTTGACAGCATCTCCTGCATAAATCATGAGGGACTGTCAGCACCCCTCAGACAGGTCCATCATCCAGGTCCTGAGGGTGGAGGTTTATGCCAGGCCCCCCCTCAGCTGTTTTCTTTCAACTGCTAAAGCATCACAGCGATTAAAAAGGCAGATGTCAGCCCAGCCGCTAAACAGGTGGAGGTAAGTGGTGTGTGAGAAAAGCTATTTATCAAATGGACCTTGCAAACGGAATTGAGCTGCAGATGAAACGCGTCACTGCAGACCAGACGGCCCCATGGCAGAAGATTTATGCTCCTTCCTGTAAGTTCATTCCTGGACTTACACTTCGAATCCCCTTTGATGGATTTTGTTGGATGTTTCTGATTTGATGTGGGCATTTCAATGAAAATATTTTAGCATTAAAAAAAGATAAAGATGCACTGCAAAAAATGGAAATCTAAATAAGCAATTTTTCCTCAAATTAAGTGCATTTTTCTTGAATTGAGGAGGTAAGTGCGACATTTTGCCAATGGAACAAGATAATTTACATTTAAAATAAGAAAAAAACAATCGCTTTTTCTTATTTCAAGCATATATTATCTAATTATCTTATTTTAGGAGTAAAGATACTAATTCCATTGGCAGATCATCTTATTTACCTGCTCAAATTAAGGCTAAATACACTTAATTTAAGACATTTTTTAATTATTTCTAGATGTTTTTTGCAGTGTGGGAATTTTATTTTTAAATCCACACTGCAAAAAACGATCTAGAAATAAATGAAAATGTCTTAAATTAATTAAACTTACTCTTAATTTGAGCAGATAAATAAGATAGTTTGCCAATGGAATTAGTATTTTTACTATTAAAATTAGATAATTAGACAATATGCACTTGAAATAAGACAATTCAGTTGTTTTTTTCTTATTTTAAATGTAAATTGTCTCGTATCATTGGCAAATGGTCTTCTTACCCCCTCAATTCAGGAAAAAATGTGCTTATTTTAAGAAAGAAATGACTTATTTAGATTTAAAATTTTTTTACAGTGCACTTAAGAAAAAAAAACAATTTAAAAATTCAGAGTTATTAAGGAGCAAACGAAAATCTACTTACACTAAATCTAACGGTTCAAGCTAATCATGATTTAGAGCTGGGCTCAATTTATGAGAAATATTTCCCCTCTTAAAACAGATTAAAAGTTAATTGCAAGCATAAAAACACAGAAACAGAAGGAGTGTTTAGTGCAGAGCAGATTGTCTTCAACGGCTCACCAGTGGATTGAAAGCAATAATCTTGAGGATGCACTCTAGTGTGAAGAGGCCAGTGAAGACGATGTTTAGGTATTTCAGCATAGACTCGTACACCGTCGGAGCTCCGTAGAACTGAGGACAGAAGGTAGAACCAAATCTCAATAAGTCATATCGGCACAGTTTTCAGTTTTAATCTAACTGCATCTGCATAACATTCTGAACCTGAATGAGTAAATCCAGCTAATAGCCATTAGATTACTCACACCTGCTGATAAGCTTTAGGTATAGTGGAAATGCATCCGTCAGCCCCAGGTGTTAGTTACACTTTAACCCACTCAGATATCTGTGTGGGCTGTGTATCTTTCCACTGATGATTATGACATGAGACTGCACCATTATCTCAGACTGAATGGGTTGTTGTGTTGGCTAGGCTGGAGATGTTTTATTCTCACTGAGATGTCTCAATCGCACTTCATCTCTCTGTTTGACAGGTGATCATCTTTTGATACAAATCACTGAAAACTAAAGCTCAAGAATGGTAATTTATCCAACTTAAGCATCTAATATTTCTGATTTATTGGGTTTTTTTCCAACTTATTTGATACAGACAGGGGAAAAAGCATCATCCAAAGGAACATAATGCTAGTAGTGATATCAAATAATATTCCTGAGTTGTTTGCTTTGATTGGTGTGGAGTCTGCTGTGAGGTGTTCACTGTACCAGTCCACTGTGATGAAGAGAGAGCTGAGCTGGTAGGATCTACGTTCCTACCCTCATCTATGGTCATGAGCTTTGGGTCATAACCAAAAGAACGAGATCCTGGATACTAGAGGCCGAAATTAGTTTTCTCCATAGCTTGTCTGGGCTCTCCCTTAGAGATGGGGTGAGGAGCTCAGTGATCCAGGGAGAACTCAGAGTAGAGCTGCTGCTCCTCCACATCGAGAGGAGCCAGTTGAGGTTGGCTCATGCATTTGTTTAGGATGCCTCATGGTCAGTGGCACGGGAAGGGGGGGTGCTGCGGGGGCTGCAGCCTCCCTCGTCAAAGCATCAGCCCCCCATGGTGGGGGGCTGTGGAGTAACATAATATTGTACTTAAAAACATGAAATTATTTATGTATTTATTTTTTAAAAGACTGTGTTTGATATGGGAT